GTGGTGCTGGGGTTAGCGGTGATGGGTATAGTGAATTAGGGGGGGGGGCTGGGGTTGCTCTTCAAACTAGTAAGACAAATAATTTTATTTTATTACGCAGATCTTAGTTAATTAGTTCTATATCTATCAATATAAATTATAATATTATACGTGGTAGAGCCAAGCTGCAGCCATATTATAGGTGTAGCACGAATGGGTCAGTTCCATCGGGAAAAGGACCACGCTCTTACAGAATACAAGCGTAAAATAGCAGTTCAATACTGTTGTGTTTCGTATGGTGAGTGTAGACAACCGGAGGCCATTTTTACAGCAAACAGTGTATTCCATCTTAGTCCTCAGTGGCGGCAACGCATCCGCATTTTAATTTTTAATCAAGGTTCGATGTAGATGTTTATGGACCACAGAATCCACTTATCATCAGGCGGACTGTGTGCTCGTTTATCACTCTTATTCTTTAAAAAAAAACACAAAAAATGTGTACTTATGTCTATAAATGTTTACGATATAATAAAAAATTTTACGTATGGTTTTGAAGAAATTTTTTGTGTGTATTTGAATGGGTTGAACGCCTAGTTCTATTATTTAAATAAATGACAAACGAACTTATAGTCTATCTGGTGGTAAGTGGTCACTTCAATCAATGGACATCTGCAACTGATAATTGTAGTAGGCGCTTACCATCTGAACAAGATCGACTGCCTCACTGCCTATTATATTGGCTATATATTCACTACAGGTCGTAACATAGCAGTGCAGATACTGCTATTTAGCGGCAAAAATAGCTAAGAGGGTAGTTTGCAATTTAGTCCCCCATCTGACAGGCCATTTCACACGCCAACTGTTCGCAAGGTGTCCGTACAGGAGGTAATGAGGAAACGGATAAGTTTCTTCTGCACTGTCATAGAAGGCGTTGGGATTATAAATTACCGAAAAATACACTAGAGGGCGCTATCAACTTGCTTTAGTATTATTTAGATATGTTAATGATAGAAAAGTAAATTTTGTGTTATATTTAAATTATATAGCTAATAGCTTTTAAGAAGCCATGGTTTGAATCACTACCAATATATATTTAGAATTATTTTAAATGTATACCGCAGTATTATAAAACTTTTATGCCATGATTTAGACATCGATATAAATGATTAAGGCTTATGTTTATCTTACCACCAGATATACTAACATATAAAAAAGAAAAATAATAAATGATCACCAAAATTAAACTAGCATTTTAATGTAAAATTATAACCAAAGTTTTTACATCTTGCTATCCTATTTAAGCAAACTGACTCCATTTTTAGTAATCTGCCGCAGGAATATATGGGGCCCTAAAAGGGGAAGTGGCGGAAACCACCCCCCCTTTTTTATGAAATTGAGATTATTTCTGCTGTGTCCTGTGTTAAAACCTCAATTTATAGTGTCGGTTTAGGCACTTCGAACCTAACCTGGCGGCACGTGGCAGGTTAGGTTAGGTTGCGCCTAACGGACCTATGCTGTGTTATATTTTTAAATTAATGGACATGAACATAACTTAATATGGCATCATAATACTTTATTTGTAATAAGCCTACATTTTATGGCACACAGTGGTTTATTTAGACAGAAATAGCGCATTAATTTGCTCGCTAAGATTTGGTGATCATACTACATTTGGTGTTCGAATACTATTACTATTGTAATTTTAGACTTTATTTTTCTGGTGTCATGTATATATTTTTGGTAAAAGAACTAAGGGTATAAAACATTTTATGGTGGTCATTATATTTAATCCCAATGATTAATGTCAGGAGTGACGCCATCTTTTGAGTACAATGTGTAAATTAGTGGGGGAAATAATGCTATTACTGACTTTGAGATGGCGCTGGTATTAACGTGAAAGCAATCTGTTGAGGACTTTCATAGGGTCGACCCACGGAATAAAATAAAACAAGTGGAAGTAGCAAAACATGTAACTTGGACCAGAACCGCTGTCGCCAAACTCACATATTCGCAAGAGAGCAGCGTGTACCGACAATTGTGCACTATTTCTTTCATTTTAACGTGATTGGCTATTCAAAAATAAAAGGGAAAGGTACACGGAATATAAAGAAAGGCATTATGTTACTCGCGATTCGCTTGATTACGAACCATAATTTCTTCGACATAAAGATCATATTCCTTATCAAAAAAGAAGTTTCTAGAATTATTGATCAAATTCAGCTTTTTAACATTAGATGTCGCAGTAATACCGCGGCTATTTGAAAACATACCATAAAATATTTACAATAGATATCATTATGTCTTAACCCAAACAAACGTCTAAGATTGACGAATAAAAATTTGCTACGTGACGCTAGATGTCGCAATAATAAATTTACGCTATTATAGGCACAATTGTAATAGATATATGGTTAATTTTGCCCTATCTGACCCACTACTGCTACGTGAATTGTGTTAGTGATGTATTTACACAATACACACAATATCGATATTCAGTAAATATTAAGGTATATAAAAATCTATGATAATATAAGTAAAATAACAAAATTTATTAGAAATTACCTTAATGTACTACGTATATTCCCGTAATTCACATAGCTGGCATATAATCATTTGACTTTGATGGAAATATATTAATAGTGAGCTAAATCATCATTTTTGAAATGAAAACAAATAGTATAATAAAAAACAAAACTTTAAATTACTGTTTATTGTGCTTGAAATAATACATATTTATTTAAAAATTGACGTTTTGATAGCTTAATATTTAATTTTAGAAGATGATGAATTCGGATATTAATGTATGATATGTTATCAACTATCTCCTTTATCAAATAAGTGATATAGTTGGATCAGGGAAACTCGCCTAATTGATGGTAACTAATAGAATTGAATAAATTTGTTCCAATTAACTGTCTCAATATTTTTGTAGTGGTTATATGCTTATTGAATTTGGCTATATCTATTTGCTTTAAGTATATTTCAACAGATTGGCAAATTTTGATAACATCAGGTGAGGGATATGACAAACCGCCTCCATCTTTGGCTACTATGAATTTATGAAAATCCTCAAAATGGTGAGTGACCAATGCTCCTATACATATATCACGTTTAATTTTTTTAATAAAATCCTTACGATGTAGCCAGCAATGTGGCCTATAGCCTGGATGCCGAAATCAGAAAAATATTCACTAATTTCTTGTATTTCTAAGTCATCGTTTTCTTCTTCTAACTCAGCTTGGACATCTACACTTTTATTAATACTTTGTACTGCCGATGACAATTTAATATCGATACGTTTTCTAAAGCAACACAACTACCTTTATTTCTGTCTATTAATTGTACGTGTGTCAATATCTTTTTATAAGCAGATATGAACTGCCTCACTATAGGGTTATTGTTTGTTCCGCCTTGTGATCTTATGTTGCAGAAAAAAAGCTCAATTTATAAAATGGTAAATATGTAAGTATTTTAGGCTTAATTGAGTTTACATATAAATGTTTTAATGCTTCGATACAGCCCAAAAAACCCAAAAACCCGGTTTTACGTGGGCTCTTTATCATTAATATACCATTTTCCGTCTATAGGTTTCGTATGTAATCTGAAGCGTAATTTAAAAATGTAAATATTTTTGATGCGTTAAGTTCATTCAATGCTTTTTTATAACCATAAAAATGTAAATTTCTTGAATTAAAAATGTCGAAAAGATTATTACAAACAATTATAAACTGTTCAGTAGGTTCGCTATCACTGAACAATTCTATTCCAGAATTTCTACAATATTTTATGGCCTCTGCAACACTTAAGCTGAAAAGTTGAGTTGCTAGCTTGACTTTCATTCGCTCCTTTTGGAAGTTGATATCCCGATTTTTTAGTTTATTAGATAAATGAAATGAAATGCCAGTGAATTTTGTTGCCATCTTTGTCTATTAATATTTTATTGTGTTCAAATGCGTTTCGCAATAATTTAATCATATGGCAGGGGTCGAGTACTGCAAATATCGGATCTTTGGTAATAGGATGATCAAATTTGATATCTTGTTTTTCGAAGGAGCAAGCAAGATGTTCTGCCATAGAAATATTTGCAGCGCAACCATCGAAAGTTAATGCCACTATTCTAACACCAGCATCATGAGTTAGCTCAAGGCACTGTTTTACCAGAGCGGCACGCTGCTGCCCTGTTATGCCATCCACAAAAAAGAAGGCGGCAGGTATTTTAAAATGACTATTAATTGCAGTAACCATAAATACCAAAGCTTCTTTTGCCTCTGCCAAGTGATCACCTTCTAAACCCTTTCCCATATCAACATAGCCGCGAAATGTATGTCCATCCCATTCAACACGTCGGCGAATGCTCATTTCATCAAGGACTAATGTGGCTAGAAGTGGCTATTGAATTGTATCAGCTTTAAGTTTTAGAGTTTTAAAAGATTCTTTGGTAAATCCTGGTTCGCCGCCTATTTTTAAATACCACTTTTTTAGAGTATGTGGATGTGGTAGGCTTGAATGAAATATTTTGCGTACGTAGTCGTATGCTCTAGGTGAATAATAATGCAAGGTTAGAGTGAAGCTGCGGAGAGCTGCAGAATATTGTTGTCTTGAAACAACTCCAGAGTCAGGATTTTTCACTTCTCGAGCAATTAATTCTTGAATCTGTAGTAATAACCAACATTACTATCTAATCCCGTGAATGTCATATCACCATATGAGTACCATAAAAAAACTATCAGCTAGTCATAGTTTATAATAAAAATATAATACACCTACCTCTATATTGGTATTTTTTAAGTGGGCTAGGTTTTCCTTCTCGATCGCAAATTTGTTATGTAATGCTTCTAATAGTTTTTCAATGCCTGTTATTGTCTTCTTTATTCGCCGGTTTTGACTTTGCAGTCGCTTTATTTTCAAATTCTGTTTTTTATTTTTTTCTTCGGACCATCTAAGCATGTGTCTCAATTTTTGTTTTCGTGGCGTTGAATACGTCGAACTTCCCTCACCTTCGTTGTATTCAACTGTTTTAACTATTGGATGAGTTTTAATGTTACGTAGTTCTGTTCATTTAACATTTCACTGTCTGCGTTTTGCGAAAACATGTGCTTCACTTTTGTTTCTGCTACACTTTCTGCAATTGGTTTAATATTTTTAGGTATATCTTCAATGACGTTACTGCCGTTATTGTTATTATCATTTTGAGTACGAGCTTTCTTTATTGGCTGAGAATCTAAATTATTCAATGTATTTTGTCTCTTTGAAGGCCTATCCATTGTCGTGACAGTGAAATGGTTATTCTGAAACAGAAAGCGATCAGTATGAACTAAATAAAAATTTACCGCAAACGAAATAAAAATAAAACCGCTAAATTGAAGTTTTGTTATATACATTCTTAAATTAAGCTCTCACAACTTATTACTACTGAATATATGAACTAAAATAGTCTAGATTAACTTACTTCAATATAAGACAAAATATTTTTTGTAGGTACTGACGAAGTTTTTAAATAGTGGTATCCTCGATTCGATATTAAGAAATCACTTTCAGTAAAGTGCTTCGAGCATATGGTGCTACTTTTTGATGGCACCCAATTTTTTTCTGCCATTTGCATTAACCCAAGCTTCCTTGATCGTGCCATTTTTAGGAAACCTAAAAACGCATAAAAGGTTGTTCTCATTGTAAATAATAAATTTCTGATCATAATGTGTGGTTTGTATGAGAACATCACTTTTATTTCAGGTTCTTTCCACAAGCCACGAGTAATACTAAGCTACTAACTTACTTCTCTGGTTAACAACCTTAATAAAAATGTTCATTAATAAGGTGACAGTATCACGCTATAGTTTTCTATACTAAACATTTAGTATTTGCACATTTCTATTAATATGGTAGTGAAAAAATAGGACTGAGATAAAATTTTATCGATTTGAATATCGTTAAAACACTATCACAACCTTTTTTATTAATAACGCATTGACAGATGAACCTTAGGTTAACGGGATTAGGTTGAATATTCGTTGCAACAAAGGCAACTTCATATGTTGTTCATTTTTGTTCACATTTCTTTGCAAAAACAAATCAAATTACACGTACCTGTGATACGAAACACCTCCATTTGAAATATTTATATTTTTGCTTCTGTTTCTACACTCTAATACTGCACGAAACGGCATAATTTCGCATATATTACTAAAGAAGCGATCTGTTAGCTCGCGACAATTTCAGCCTGCGACTGACCAATCATCAAATCATGTCAATTATGTTTGATTATGCTCTAATGTCACTAATTGTGAGCCGCCTGCCCGGCCCACTTTGGGCTTCCTCTTGTTTTTTATATTCCGTGGGTCGACCGATGCAGTTAGGCGCTAATGTAAACGATGATATATTTTTAATTTTATATGCCATCTATATATAAAACTAATACGTGTCGTATCATTATGAAATAAGAGGCTATAGTAACTCAGCTCAAATTCTAATTACGCTCTTACTTCCCCGTGCTCCGTATGTTATGTATCGACATATTTATAATCATTAATACTGTGAGTAGACAGGTCGTTAGATACTTATTTCATTAGGTTTATCATATTTATGCCTGTTTCTTTACGCCAACCCAGTCGCTTCTTAAATTTTATATGATTATTTCCCATTTTAATTTTACGTCATCCTGTTGCGTAATTTGTATTCTGATTGTAAGTGACAAAGCTTTCCCGTTCAAAAAGCTAGACTAATCCTGACCTGGCGGCAGGAAACAAGCTTCAAGACGCCAATAGTTTAGGTAATTTCATTTTACAGTGAAAATAATGGTAATTAAAAAAAATAAAAAACATAAGCCCTGCTTTATAGTTATTTCAGTTAGTATGCAAAGTTTTATGATCTAATTTAAAGTATTTTATGAATACCAGCGGTTTATTGTTCAGTTTGGAATCAACTTTGAATTTTTTCTATCGAGAAAATTTTACGGAATCGTGTTTTCGTCTAACATAGTACTTAACATTAATCCTCAACTTTACCATATATTTATTTCAAAATTAATGCTGCAATATATTAGGTATAATGAAGGATTTTGCTAAGCTATTTGAGGTCGTATTTTTACTATTTCCCCTTAAGCTATTTATTTGTATCGAATTAGTTAAATTCTACTTTTACAGATACATCCATCATATTTTAAAAATTATTTGCCAGTTTCTTGTACTTAAAGGGTAAGGATTGTGAAATTAAATCATTATATAAAAAGGTATTTATTTTATTTGCATAATAAAACATGATTCTATTAAAAGAGATTAAAAAGTCACACCTCACAATACACTTTTTTCCCAATGCAGGCTTTTTAAAATCCACCTCTTTTACACGACACAGAAAAATAATGGTAAAAACCATGGAAATGTGTATGCAGTGAAGTTCTCTTATGACGTGGCGTCACGTTACGGCCTTGTCTTTAATCTATATTGTTCAAATATTAAAATCAGAAAAAAAAAACAGTGTTTACTTTTTAATTTTTTAGCGAATCGTATACATTTACGGCACTTGGCCACATCTGTCAGGCCGGCAGGCGGGCATGCAATAGCTGTCAAACATATTTTGTCGATGCGACATGCGAAGGGTAAGTTCACTGAGGCAGAAGAGGAGTCTTACAATGTAATAATTACTGCTGTCAGTTCTTAACACTTCTACAAATTTCAGATTATTCAGACGCTACATTTATACATATTGTTATGAGATTGAGGTTCGTGACTGTAAAAACTGTCGACTGAATTACCCAAAATTGACACTTTAATTACAGAACACCAATTAACACTTAAAACACACTAAAACAAAACACAATTGTACTACTTATCACTTTAGTTCGCAGTTGTATCGCTTTGAAGTATTCGCTCGTATCGCTAATTCAACATTGAGGTCGCGGTCTATACCGGCCTTATATAGGGCCTCTTCTACTGAAACATCTAGAATGCATACCGTCGAGTACATACCAGTCCAATTTTTCTAGAAGCAAAAATTCTTGAAGAATCTTGACCCTCCTGGTTCTGCTACTCGATACTAGAGGGCACTAATGGTAACTAATGTCACCATGTACTAACAAAATCAGTTGACTAGTAAAATCAGACCTTACTTTGCGGAAATCCAATATATTAAAGATATTAAAAATTAGTTAGCTAAGACTTAGACCTGCTCACTGTACAATAGTGTAGTGGTATTGGGAGTAGTTTTGTTGGGATTAATGATGACGTGATAGTGCGCTCAGTTGGGGGGGGGGGGAGGTGCTCTTCAAACTAGGTGAATCACATCATAATATTTTTTTCTTTTACGTGGATCTTAGCTGACTAATTTTTACATCTTCCATACACATGTACATATGAAATCATATGTGTATCATGAGACACATACTTAAATTCAGGTCAAGCTAACAAAATTAAAACGTTTAACAAAAAGTAAACACCGAATTCAAATTGTTATAAAAGAAGTCGTTTATTTGAAACCCGTTAGAAGTTTTTCTCCGAATTTATATGGGACCACCCTATTTAAGAAAAAAAGAATCATTAAAATTCTATACCACGGGGAGGAGCAGGACTTTTTGACTATTTAAATTTTTAGTGTTAGTTTTTCTATATTATAGTTTCTTTTTTTATATTGTGTATAGTTAGTATTAATTGTAAATATTAGAATTTTAATTATTATTTTTATTTAATATTAAAATATATTATATAATTCAAAAAAAAAATTAAAATTGGTTCCTTATATGCGAAGATATCATATGAAATTTCCTTAACAATAGCTCAATATAAAAGTTTTTCAACATATAGAACAGGTATTGTTTAATACCTTTATTAGGCACCAGTCTCGCATAAACTAGGGCGCAATACGTTTACAGTTTATAGTTCAACATGTTTGTCATCAATAATTCTGTACCTAACTGTATATGATGAGAAAATAAATAATATAAAATTTATTTTATTACTTCCCCCGTTTACCACCTTAGGAGGCGGAATTTTTTCTTCATAATTTAACGGGACTACCCTTGAGGTGAAGCCTATTTTATTAAAAAAAAAGAACTATTAGAATTGGTACACAATCTGCGACGATATCTCGTAACATACATACGAAAAAAAAAACACTCGAACTAAGAACCTCCTCATTTTTGAATTCGGTTAAAAACCATAGAAATCTACCTTCATTATTTCATTGACTCTCTTTATTATGAAAAATGTCATAAATTCCAGCTGTAAATAAATCCGTGAAGTTAGTTAGGGTAGGCCGTTTTACGACGTAACATTTGTGAGGCGTTGATTTGCTACTTTTATACATATTACGTACCCGAGTTTATTTCCGAGATCTGCGTAGTGTAAATTAGTTTAATATGCGTTTTAATTAAAACATAATAACAGCTAATGCTCTCTCAATCTCGTATACTAGAGGGGAACTTGAACTCAAGTTCCCCTCTATTTGTGTAACACAGAGTAGCTGGTTTTGTCAATAATAATAATGTCTTTCAGACCGAATGTCGATCACAGCGGCCAACATAAGTAGTATAGAGCCCTAGTGTATGTTCATTCCAATAAGTGGGGTATGCCGAAACATGTGGTTCCGATGGTCAAAGAGAGAGAGAGAGAGAGAGACGGAGAGAGAGAGGGAGAAAGAGAGACAGAGAGAGATAGAGGAATTAAATCACGCAGTTTCTGCTCACACTACTGTTTTCCGCAATGATCTTATATTTTTACATATAAGATCATTGGTTTTCTGCAACTTACTCTCAAAATGCGAGAGGATGGGGATTCGACACGACTACGGAAAGAGATCAGACGGTCACCAACAGCTCTAAATTCATTCCGAGGCACAAGGGTGAGATACCGCCTACTTCCTGACTCTGGGCTGCCACTCAGAATTTCTAGCAAGGAAAACCCAATAACTTTGTTTTGGTCCGACCCCGGTTTCCAACCCTACTACATGATCAGCAATCGCAATTAGGACTCCTAGAACAAACAGCAGTCACAACAGTAAAATCAAATGAAATGAAACGAATGGAATAAAATGAATGAAATGAATGGTTTTTATAATGAAATGAAATGAAATGTATGATTTTTATTCAATATACTTAGTCGGTTCATAAGTTCTGACAAAACCTTATTATTTAAAATTTTGGAATACTGGCTAGATGAACTTCACCAACTTCAAAAATATTAAGTTTGCGTTTGCCGAAAATAAAAAAGACATTAATTTCCATTTATTTTCAAATATGGAGTGGCCGAAGAAAGAAGATAGAGTAGCGGTTATCGCGTTGCACCGCTGTGGTTACGCGCCAAATGGGATTTTCAATATTCTACAAAAATTGAAAATAACCCTACGATTTGTTTATCGTACTATCATTATTATTCACTGAAGATTCAAGCTTCGAAGATCGTAAGAGGACCGGCCGACCTCGTACAGTTAGGACACCCGCGATCATCAAAGCAGTGAAGGCGCGAATCCAACGAAATCCTGTTCGTAAACAAAAAAATCTTAGCTCTTCAGATGGGCCTAAGCAGAACCACGGTCAAAAGAGTGATCAATGAAGACCTAGGACTACGAGCTTATCGTAAGAAGACCGGACATTTTTTGAACGAGCGTTTGAAAAAAATTAGGCTGGATAGATCCCGCGCTTTG